TATTTGGCAGTCAATAAACAACATATCCAAAGAATGTGTTTAGGATAGATGTGGATGTCAAATTGGACCAGTGGAAAAACTAGAAAAAATGGAATTACAAATGCACAAATTAGTAGAGTTCACCTCAATAGGTGATAAAAGTAGTAGACTAAAATGATTTGGGCATGTAGAAAGAAGTTAAACTACTGCACTAGTAAGAAGTGATTAGAAAAGCTGGGGCAAGCCAGGAAAAAGGTGGATCAGGAAATTGAAATGATGCCTTTTGGGGCAAGAACTGAGTTATTAGCATCATTACAAGGGCTGAAGTTGAGGGAAATCTCCCAAATTTAGAGGACTTCATGATGTAAGGGACTTTTGTGTTGTATTGAGGTAAATGAAGAATAATAGTATTGGTCCCCAGCAGTACAGGTACAGGCATACACTGAAGGAAGACATTTGTCAAGGGAGCCAAGAATAAAATTTGTTTAGACCAAATATCAGCCAACAGTTTGACAGCTACATTGGCCAAACAAAGGGAAAATAGGGATCCATTATACTTGGGGGTTATTTATAGGGAACCTGGGATCCAAATGTAAACAAAACAGAATGGGAACTGGTTGCAGAGGCAATTGGGGCTTTCCTAGTATGCTTGCTACACATACTGTATATCACTTTACCTATATTCCCTAATTACAAATTAATAAAATATGAAATTACTAATAAAAAGTATTTAACCATTAACATGACCCTCAATTGAGAGGAATATCAAAGCAGGATTTGTCTAGCCAACCCCATATGGCGTCACAGACTCCTAACAAAAAAGGGCCTAACAGCCAACAGAAACCTCTAAATAAATATAAAAACGAAAGAAACAGACAAAAACACCCTACTAAAGAGCCAAACCATGAGCGCAAAACTTTCACAGGTACCCTATTCACCAAAGAAAAAACAAAAACCACACTGAACTGAAACAAACCAAACTCCTTCAACTGAGAACCCCCACTGCAATGAGCCCAGATCTCCTGAAAGCAAAAATCGTCTACACACCCTGAGAGCACAACATCCAGCCACATATTGGAAATATCTCCCATACTTATAATGTCAAAGTAGGCGATCAAGACTACAATCAGCCTTGAATCCTAATGAATTTCAGATTAGGAAAGGTAGAAGAAAAGTAAGGAAAAGAAGAAAAGAGAGGAGAAGAACAGGAGAACACAAAGGTTTGAAAGGAGGAACAGATTCTAAATTGATCTGCCGCCGCCACTCTCTTAGTATTTATAGGTTATRTTCAGTACATARAGGAAAGGACAGMTCTGCCCTTAATACTTACATGACAAATAAAGCAAATAACAAACTGAAATAAGTAACAACTGAAATAACACGCTGACCACCAACTAACACTAACATGACTGAAATAAATAATTGCACATACTGTCCTAYGAACACAGTGGGGACCACAGCTGTGGGGCCCACATCAGTGTTCTCTACAGTTAAGTTCATGAAGAACTATTCCCTATTTACAGCTGGAAGCCATGCTTTCAGGGTGTGTACACAATTTTTCCTCTTTCTCCATCCCAACCCCATGAAAGCAACTCCTTCCATAAACGAACTTTTCATTCTTCTCCCTCTCCCACTTGTAACCGGTTTTTACTTCCTACATCTTTTTTATTTAGAAACTGGATCCTCTGCTTCCTCCCCAACTGAATGCAATTTTTGAAGCCTCATCAGCTCATTCCATTCTCCTTTCCTACCTCCCACCAAAGCATCCCCATCCTATGTTGTTGGTCCCTTTCCTCTAATCAATTAAATAACTTGCTAGACCAATACATCTCTCCTCATGAACAAGGATCCAATAATACTGTTAGTTTTATCTGGTCAATCTTCTTAGGATCTGCCTCCTTGTATTCTGTACTCTTAATTTTATCCAAATCCATCAATTGGTCTAAAGAAGCCTGCATACTTTCTACCTGTTACACCACTTAGAACCCAAGTGGAAGTTCCACAATACCTCTTCATGGAGGTATAGGAAAAGCATTTTTCACATCTAGCTAATACAAAGGTGATGAATAGAATGCTGCAAACCCATAGTTGGCCCTATACATCTCTGTGTAATCTTTTGCTACTACCTTTATACCTCTTGATTGAGCCATCCACTCTGTACTTCACTATAAACACCCACTTGAAACCAATAGGTTTTTTACCATTTAGTAAGTCAACTACATCCAAAGTATAATTCTTCATCAGTGCATCCATCTCAATTTGCATTCCATCCCTCCATTCTAACCTATATAGAGCTTTTGGCACATTTTTGGAACATACTCAAAAGACATAGAGGCAAGAAAGGATTTGTACAAGGGCGATGCTAAATCATAGGACAAAAAACGAGAAAGACAATGAGTAGTGGATGTGCTACATTAGGCAATGGAAAGGTCCAAATCAATGAAATGGGTAGGTGAGGAAGCATTAGAGCCTGGACCTTTTTTCCTTGAGTTGATTTGTCGTGGAGGACACTCTACTTTAGAATGGAGAAGAACTCACTTGTGTCTCTAGTACACCTGAAGCTCATGATGTGGACTTGCCTAAAGAGAACTTGCAGGATAGGAGAAACAAGAGCAATAACAATGGTGAGGAACAAGAATAGGTAATGGAACAGGCTCAAAAGAATCAAAGCTGGCATCAACCTCCCTCTCACCAGAATTTCCAATAAGTATACTCACCAAAGATAACATCCATGGAATCATGGATACATATTTTTTTTTCTGCCATAGAAAAGAGTTAGAAGCAGAAAACAGACAAGAAGAAAGTATCGGGAGAAGAGAAATAGTGACATCTTCCACTCTATTATTATTTATGGGGAAAACATGAAATTGCAGAAAAACCCTCCACCTAAGCACATAAAAATAAATAACCATTCAAGACATACTTCCAAATAAAAATAGACCTAAAAGTTAAAACAACAATAACCTTTCTGGGTAATTGCACAAACCCAAAACACACACCCAATTGCCTTGTTGAACTTTGATTTGAGGGCCCAAAACATGAACATAACATGTGCAACCAAAGATTCAGTGTGATAAAAAACTCAATCCAAGGATACTCAAAGGAGTTTTATGGTCAAGAATATGTTAAGGCATATGATTAATCAGAAAGGTGGTAGTGAGTATGGCATCTCCCTAAAAACCAAAAAGAACCTGACAACCTATTTTTGTTAATGGGCCTGTTAAACCTTTTTTATTCTTGTTTAATTAGTTGGCCACCCAATTAAGGGCCTACTTGTAATTTCAGAAAATTAGTAATTATTTCTTAATGAAAAGATTAGGGAAGGAGGAGCTGTACAAACAACTCTTCTCGTAAACCCTCTCACAGCTGAACTCTTCTTCTTGTCTCTTCTTCTTCTTCTTCTTCTTCTTCTTCTTGCTGCTGATATCTACTTTGTATCTCGCACCTTTTTAATCAAATCCTCTCATTCTTTTGGGACTGTTTTTCTTCTTGATATCAGAGCAGGCCCCTTTTTCTTTTTTTCCCATACACAATGTGTATGGAGAGCTGAATCGAATGAGTGATCAAAAAAGAGTTTGGTTGTGAGAGGGTTTAGGAGAAGAGTTTTTTGTACAGCTCCTCCTTCCCTAATCTTTTCATTAAGAAATAATTACTAATTTTCTGAAATTACAAGTAGGCCCTTAATTGGGTGGCCAACTAATTAAACAAGAATAAAAAAGGTTTAACAGGCCCATTAACAAAAATAGAACAGAAACATAAAGAAATAAAAACAGCTGTGGTCTATGAGCTATGGGCCATTCGACCCATCCTCTCTACAGAGGATAAATTGGAAATATGTACATTTGCAGGAACCAAAATATTGCACTATTAAGTGACAGGCCTTAGAGAAAATTGAAGTGGCTTTATAATTAATCCCTTACAGAGAGTAATGACTGCAAGTGAGAACAAGTGATATGGTATAAGTTTAAGATTTTGAAAGGACAAAAAATGAAAGAACGAAAGAAAGAAATGGTTGAAAAAAGTAACAACACTTAAAAGACTTATGATTCTCCAGTAAGATATGGCTATACATGGGTGGGCTTGCAATGCAGAATTTGTCTAGCCAACCTTGCAGTATGGATACTAAATTCTTAATGATGCGTAATAGAGACCAGCATGAAAGCTAAATTCTTACACAGTTACATTTAGTTATCAGAATTCAGAAATGCTACCTCATATTGACTCCGGTTGGTAGGATAATGAAGCCCCAAGTGTTCAGGATGTTTGAATGTATGTATTCTTCAAGAATTACTTCCTGTGAATCCTGTCATGGAATAGGAAGGGGAAAAAAGAACATTTGCAGAATGAAAGTACTTTTTTGTTAAGCAAATAAATAAATAAATAAAAGCTGAAATACAGAACTAATTTTCTTGTTAACTAGAAGAGTTAATCCAGTTCCTAATTTTGCTTCCTTTTGGGGACATTAAAACCTTCAAATAATTATGGAGAAAGGCAAAAAAAGAGGAGCATGTATTTTTGGGATATTATTTCATAAATTAATCTGATATTCTCTCTGCAATTTTCCAGAAGTATAGATTGATTATAGATGGATATTAGGGGTAAACTACCATGACAACCCTTGAATGGACAACAACGTTCTTCCAGCCCTCCCTCACTCCCCCTTGTGTTTCCTTTTCAGAGGTAAATTCAATTATGCCCCATCCCAACTATACGCGCACAGCTAGACAAACCCTTCTGTCACCCCAGCCTGCCAAGAACATAGAGAGCCATATCTCCTATTAAATATGTCTTCTCTCTACTTCCGTTGATGTCTTCTTTTGCTTTCCCATTGCCCTCTAGACCTTAAATTTTATGTCTAACCACTTCTCACTGTCAAAGTAAATGGTCTTATAAGATATGCGTTAGTTGTAGTGGAACTATGAACTGAGCATACTCAATTATCAGAAACTAGATGCATTTTTCCAGATCAACTAATTTGACAAGAACCAAGACCAATAAAAAATAAATGCTACAGAGACGCATAGTGGAAATTGTATCGAATTACTGGAATTTAATATATTGGATCCATGAAGATCAATCAACCATGAAGTAAAAGAAGACGAAAATACATTAAATTAAATACCAAGAAAGACAAAAACTTGTGGATCTTAAATTGCATTAACCCCTAATGAACAGAATAAAAAACCCAAAACCTTATTATAACTAAGGCGAACCCATGATTCCAATATCAAGGCTGCTGCTGTGCATCCATATACCCAGCATCAACAAGCACCTTCTCCCTCCTCGCCAATTCGATGTCCTCATCCACCATCATCTTCACCAACTGCTCGAATCCAACCTTGGGCTTCCACCCCAGTACACGCCTCGCCTTGGTCGAGTCCCCTTTCAAGTTGTCCACCTCCGCAGGCCTAAAATACCGCTTATCGATCACCACGTGATCTCTCCACTTCAATCCAACATACCCAAATGCCACCTCCAGGAACTCCTCCACCGTATGAGACTCCTCCGTCGCCACCACGTAGTCGTCCGGCTTCTCTTGCTGAAGCATCAACCACATTGCCTCCACGTAATCTCCCGCAAACCCCCAGTCCCTCGAGGCTTGCAAATTGCCCAAGAATAATTTATTCTGCAGCCCAACTTTGATCCGACCCACTGCTCGAGTTATCTTCCGAGTCACGAAATTCTCACCACGGCGGGGCGATTCGTGATTGAACAGAATCCCGTTACAGGCGAAGATGCCATAGGCTTCCCTGTAATTGACAGTGTACCAATGCGCAGCGCACTTGGACGCGGCGTAGGGCGATCGGGGATGAAATGGGGAGGATTCCGACTGAGGAGGTGGCGTAGATCCGAACATTTCGGAGGATCCAGCCTGGTAGTAGCGGATGTGGTTGCGGCCAGTGGCAGAGATGTGGGATCGAACGGCTTCCAGGAGGCGGAGGGCACCAGTGGCGACGACGTCAGCAGTGTAGTCGGGGATCTCGAAGGAGACGGCAACATGAGACTGGGCAGCAAGGTTGTAGACCTCGTCGGGAAGGATGGTGTCGAGCCAGCGGCGAAGAGAGGAGGCGTCAGTCAAGTCAGCGTAATGCAGCTTCATTCGGGCCTTGTGGGCATTGTGGGGATCGATGTAAATGTGATTGATACGCTGGGTGTTGAAGTTGGAGGAGCGACGGATCAGGCCGTGGACATCGTAGCCCTTGTTGAGGAGGAACTCGGTAAGGTAGGAACCGTCCTGGCCGGTGATACCAGTGATCAAGGCTACCTTGCGGCCTTGTGGAGGAGTTGTCGGCGTCGTGTCACAGCAGTTGGTTGCAGCAGCCGCAGATCCAGATTTTGAGGAGTCGTCGAGTGATGCCATTTTTATTTTTCTGTATTGATGCTTCTGATATCGCTCTCGCTCTGCTTATTTGTATATGGACTAGAGTGGAGGGAAGGAGGAAAGAGGAGGAGAAGGAAAGGAGAACCGAGAGACAGATGGCAATAGGACTGTTGTAATGGTCGGTGGTATTTAAGACCGGAACCGGATGACTGGATTTGGTACTTGTGTTTTACCATCTGCAGTTGAACTTCAGTTGGAACTTTTTACGAACATGGGTTGGGGGGATCCAGCTCCACCCCTTGAAATGACGATGTGGACTCTGCTTCTTCTCAAAACCAGCTGGAGCCTGGAAGTAACAGACTAACAGGTAAGCCCGACGGCTGTTGCCGTCCCTGTTGGGGGAGATGCCAACCGTCTCTCGGGACGGCCTTAAAGCTGGCGTGGAGTTTTCCGTCCCATTTGGGAGGGCTTTCGCGGCTTCTGGCTTCTCCAAAGCATCTCAGTGAAAGCAACAGAACCAACGCTTCAGCCCTCGCAAGCGGGTCCGACCCGTGTGATATATGCGTAAGCGAGTTACCGTATGGCTAAAGATTAAAGTATCTAAACGTCGGAAAGGTATTTTCAAGAAACGTATTTGGATAAATATAACACCTCAATGAGTATATATATATATATATATATATATATATATATATATATATATATATATAATATTTTAATGGTTTTATGAAAAAATATATAGTAATTAATTATAATTTCATTAAAAATTTTGTATTTAAATATAATTTATATATTATAATTCTTAAGTTTTAATGTTTTATGGGATGGGAAAAACCTAACTCCCATATCCAACCATAAAATATGTATTGGCACAACGTCTAAGTGAAAATATCGTCAATAATTATTTATTATTTAAATAATTATTATTTATTTCTAAAAATTATCAAAAATAAATAAGCATTATATATTATATTCAAAATATAGTTATTAAAGAAGAATTTTTAATTGCTTTGTGGATATGATAGATCATTTATAGAATTATAATATATTCAATCATTGTGATCAAATGATAAAATATAATTAATTAATTATTTATTTTTTTAATTCTAAAAATAAAAATAATAATTATTAAAGAAGAAATTTCAATTGGTCTATGGATATGATAGATCATCCATAGAATTATAATATACTCAATTGTTGTGATCAAGTGATAAAATATAATTAATTATAATTTATTTGTTAATTCTAAAAATATAAAAAATCAAAAAATATTAAAGAAGAAATTTCAATTCCTCTATGGATATGATAGATAAATCCATAGATCTAAAACATATTTAGTCTTTATGGGTAGAGAAAAAATTACATTTTCAAATTTTTTATTAATTTATAATTTCCTCAAATATCTTCATGAAATTTCCATAAATCTACTGAAAACACAAAAAAAAATTGTGATTTTGAATGTAAAAAATGTAGATCAACATAAATTTAAACATTCAAGAAAAAAATAAATCACGAGATATTATAAAAATTGAAAAAACTAACCTATTTTTGCCATATTTTTTCAAATTTTGAAAGATATTCAAAAAAAAAAATTAACGATTCACACTTGTTTCTTGCAAACTTTTGCAAATGTAACACTTTAAGAATGAGGTTTGGAGTTTTAGAATCATTTGGGGGTGAAAGATGGCTTATTTCAGGGAAAAGAAGCTTGTTTTCCCCATTTATTTATTTTTTTTAGTTTTTGGCCATATCTTTTTCGTTAATACGCCCTAATACACCCCCGATACGGTTTGATGCGGGTCTGATACGCATAAAAAAAAGCAAAACGCCCAATTTCCATGTATATTCTATATCTATTTTTCAAAGATAGGATATGATACACCCCATATCAGGGCATATTGTATCGAAATTTTAAACATTGTTGTATGGTACACATGTTTGTTGAAACAGATTATCTGACTTGTTTAAATCGCACCCGTACATGATACGAATTATCATGGAAATAGGTTTATGTGATTTTCCAATGGGAACATAATACAGATTAGTCAACATTTTAAACCCTGGGAACAGCCTCTTTCAACCTTGCATCAGGAATATCTCTCCCAAAATAAAGAGTAAGTATGAAGATTTTCCAATGCAAAGTTGTTCGAGCCAAAGCCAAACTCAGTTTACATAAACTTGTTTCCTCTTAACTTAAAATGGGTCCTGTCGGACCCTTTTTTTTTTTTTTTGGTAGATATGGGAATTGCACTGACAACACCTCCCGAATCAATTTAAATGCATTTGTTTCTCATGGTCTTGCAAAAATTCTATTTTTTTAGAATTTATTGTATTTTTGCCCTTTTAATTTTTATTATTATGACATCATGTTTTATCCCATTTTCCTAAATAGTTGAATTGCTAACCCACCACATGGATTGAAAATTCATTTTACTTTTGGGTCAATTTTAAATTTTGTATTAATTTTATTTCATCATTAGTAAAAACATATCGTATTTCTCACACTTATTTTTGTTTAATATGATGAATATATAATATTAGCGATATACACATTTTTTTCACATTCTTTTGTATTTTTATTATTTAGTTATGATATCATGGTTGACCCATTTGATTTGAATGGTTAAACTACTCGCTTGCCACTTGGATAGAAGAATGATTTCATTTTCAAGTTGGTTTTGAACACATATATGTTGTATTGTTAAAATCATTGGATATATTTAACTAGTAGAATTTATGAAAAATAATAATAAATCAAATATAGGATTTAATGAGAGAGAATGGGAGTTAACACCTTAAATATAGGAATTAATAAGAGGCAATTGAATGAAGTGAAAAGTGGTAGTTCAAATTATGTTTTATGCCCTTATGTCTAGAGGGGGACCTAATTCAAAAGTTGAGTAATAATACTCCATAAAAAATCCACAAGGTTCATTTATTTCATGTAACTTAAATATAGAATTTAATGAGAGGGAATGAGAATTAATATCTTGACTATAATAAATGAGAGGAAATATATTGATCTTAAAAGTAGTAGTTAAGATTATGTTTTTACCCTTATGACAGAAAGGTGCCAAATACAAAAACAGGGGCATTTTAGTCAGGAAAAAAATCCAGAATCTATACCTCATTCCCATTATAAGATATAGTATATATTGCTAAGGGAAAGAATCAAACAAAAACAAAAGAAAGACAAACAAAAAATTAAAGCAAAAGACAAACCAGGCTACACACAACAGGGGTTAGCCCTTCCCCACGAATCACTTTAGGCACTTATGCAAATAGTGTAACATTCTTCAACAAGGTTCTTGATGGACCATGGAAGAGATATGCACCCTTTGAGAGACTGTCAATAACCATCTTTGAATCTCCATCAATAACAATATCCTTCCAGGAAAACAGGCTTCACATTGATGGAGCAGGATGTCAGAAACCAGTATCATTACTCTTCAAACTAAGGACAACACCCTTTTCATCCCTATAAAGACAATCTCCAGCATATATGAACTTAGTTGAATTTAATATTGAGAAACAAAAATGCCTTAAATATAAAATTTAATAAAAGAGTGTGAATTAAAACTTTAAATATAAGACTTAAAGAAAATGAATTATTCAAATTACAGTTTCTACAATAAAGGAACAAAGACTTTTCCCTTAAACTCAACTTTTGCTCTTCCTTCATTCTTTTAACTTTTGGTTGGAGACTTGGAAAAAGAAATAAAAAGCAAAAAAAAAAAAAGAAGAAAACTATCAACACAAAAAGCAAAAAAATAGATGCTTAACTCCACTGCATGAATTATCTCAGGGGATTACTAATGACGTTATGGTCTGTTCTCTATATTATTCTCTAGAGAAGAAATTAGAGAGGCCAAAAAAAAAAAGAATTGTGGGTGATTGATAGAGAGGAACACTGAGGTGGACATTGTTGTTTTAGGAATACAGATGTAGATGCTTAATCGCTTTCCCATCAATTCAATTGTGGTGAAAATGTGAGACAGTGAGGACAAAAATACACTGTAAGGGTTGCATGTATGTCACTAAATAGCAGACTAAGAATAGATAAGACACATGATGCTTGTCTTTAATTGTAGCTTCAGGGTGTTCACCAACGTGAATGGTTTAGGGTTCTTTACTAATAAACAATGTTTTTGAACCGTGGATGATTCGGACGGTTATATTGTTCAGCCCAGAAATTATTCAGGCAATCGGTTCTGTTTTATTTTAAATTCGGCCTTTGATTAAAAGCAGTTGAATTGGTCAATGACTTATTGATCTGTGCGATCAAACTGTCAACCTGTTAGACTAGTTCAATGGTTTTGGGTCATTATTTATTTTATTTTATTTTTGTCAAAATGAGCTGTTCATTTGAACTGGATGATCAAATCGTCAACCTAGAAATCAATGGCCAAAATGAATCCGGTTCCGAATCAGTTTTTAAAACATTACTAATAAATACACGCTTTTGTAAAAGAAAATTACAAAGACACCCTTTCTAGTTTCACATAATACATAATACATAATACTAAGACCTATCCTATGGTTTGCGTATTACTAAGGCATTCCCTTGTACTTTGCAATTACTTTATTTAATCCACTTGGAAATGATTTTTTATTTAGAAAATACTCAAAAAATCTTGCATCACCCTTTTAGAAACAAAACCCACTCCACATTATTTTGTTCCAGAATAAAAAATTAATAAAAGAACAAAGGAAGATAATAGAAATGAAAATAAAAGTAAAATGGACAACAATAGAAAAATTTTTTTATTTTTTTATTTTCTGTTATCTTCGTTTATTTTCTATCTTCTATTTTTGTTTTTTGTTATTTCAAATTAAAATATTCATTATTTATTTCTTTTAATTATTTTGGTCAACAAATACTATGGTCAAATAATGTCATTCTACACTTCAACAAGTAAAGCAGTTGTAAAATAGAGGGAGTGTTTTAGTAATATTCAAACTATACGCTAGGTCTTACTAATTACATTAAACTATGGAGGTGTCTTCATAAATATTCCTTTTCTATAACAAAAATTGCCACATCAGCAAAAATGTATTGTTTTTGCTGACATGGGAGTTTCTTTTATTTCAGAAAGCAAAGCCATTCACATTCTACCAAAAAAAACATCAATTTAGCTAACCCAAGAAAGCAAGAAGTAAAAAGTTAATACCAAGAGCTGAAAACCATCAAAAACATCTCACTCTCACCCACATCACATAGGCACATGGTACCAAAGCCGACACTGAGAAATATGAAGTAAAATGTCCAACACTAAAGTACACAAGATACGAGTAGTATTTGTCATGCAGTAGGGGTGAACGTGGGCCGGGCCAGGATGGGCCCGTCGAGCTTGGGCCTGGTTTAGAGACTATGACTTTTATATAAAGTATTATTTAATATGGATTATATGTGTTTTATAATATTTACGGAAAAATCTATGCTGTATGACACCTGAAGAGCTTTGACCAATCAAAACCCCGTCAGTTTTGATAAATTCCACCTGATTGATTACCACTTTTATATCACTGGCTGATTGGTTATGAGTCTTATGACTTATGAGTTTGTCGGTGGCTCTTCTGGGCCGAAAGTATTGGGCTCAGATCTGGCCCAGTACTTGCAGGCATAATGCGGGCCCAAGCCCATGGATATTAGAACACAATCTAGACCCAAGACCAAAAGTTCTTGGCCAGACTGGACTAGTGGACTGAAAATGATCACCCTATTGTGCACCTTCCCAACTTGGGCTGTTAGGTTTAGAGGATGGGGATTAGGTTTCAACCTTTTGACTACCCTATTACAAGACCCCGATCTGTGCTGCTTACCCCCATCGAGAGATTAGTATCATTTTGTATTTTCTTTACTTTTTTTTAAACCCAACCCAAAGGTCAACCATGTTTTTTGTTCAGGTCACCGTTCTTTAGTTCGATTGTCTGGGTTGAATGGGTTAAACCATCAAAACAAATTGAGAAAAAAAGAAAGGAGAGATACCATTATCACGGCAAGAAATCTCTCTCTCTGAGATTAATGTCAGGCATAAGTGGAGCTCTAAAATGCATCAGGTGGCAAGACCAATATGAGTTTGAATAGATTGGTGTGTGTAGAACATAAGATTCTCTTTTAATTTCCATATATAAGGAGCTGAATATTTTGGGCAAATTGAGAAAAATGGCATTCAAGCTAAAGTCCAAAATATCAGTATCACGTGTTTGGATAATACATGAATACGATGGAATGGTAATAGATACACTTGAATACATTAGGGAATCTCTCACAAATCTCATTAACACTAAATGAATAATTATGAAAAAGGTATAAACATATCTTACATAAAGAGATACATTACACTCAACAACACTAGAATTTAAAACATGTAGATCTCATACCATAACTTTTCTAATACATCAAGCAATGTTTGAGCTTCCAATCTACTAAAAATTTATTATAAGACCCATCAAATTATTGTTAAACCAATGTGTTTGATATTGATATGTCCATATTATAGTTCTCTCTTACCACAGAAAGCATTTAGAATATGGAAAATAAATTATTTTTCTAATTTTTCGTTTTTCCTAAAAACTATGGAAACTATTTATTTTTAACATAAATTATTCTTAGGTTAATGAGTTTAATAGATCTTTGATAGATCCATATTGTAGTTCTTTCTGGCAATGAAAAATATTTATAAAATATAAAAAAATTATTTTTATAATTTCTAGATTTTTTTCCAATTTTTGGGAAAAATTCATATATCTAACAATTTTGGACCATTGGTCCAATTGGATATACCTCAGTGGTTCAAAATATCAGAACAATCGGTGGTTCAATTTTCTAATTGGATATGCCTAGATTTTTTTTTTCAATTTCTAATGATTTGGTGAAAATGAATAACAATTTGTTGACTTATGCCAATAATCAAAAACTGGTGTAAATACACTTTTACACTGATCGAATTGAGACAAGATAGTTCAGTGAAAGTATAAAATACGGACCGGCAATTGTACTCATTTACACTTGTCCTGTTTTGTTACATCAACATAAATGGAGATTACTCTGCTTTCTAGTTTGTTGCAACCGGAGATTTATCAGAGAGAGAGAAATGGTTCCCACTTACACTCGTCCTAATTTACACTTGTCCTGTTTGGTTACATCAACATAAATGGAGATTACTCTGCTTTCTAGTTTGTTGCAACAGGAGATTTATCAGAGAGATGGTTCCCGTTTACACTCATCCTAATTTACACTTGTCCTGTTTGGTTACATCAACAAAAATGGAGATTACTCTGCTTTCTAGTTTGTTGCAGCGGGAGATTTATCAGAGAGAGAGAGATCCCGTTTACACGTCCTAATTGGTTACATCTAAGTGGAGGTTACTCTGTTTTCTAGTTCATTGCAGCAGGAGAATTACCAGAAAGGTAGAGAGAGAGAATTGGGGGAGATTGATCAAAGATACCTTTTCTCCTCGCAGAATCTGAGAGATGACCATCGCTAGCGACGGTTGCTCATGTTCTCTCCGGTTTTAGTTTTCTCCGCTCAGAATCTGAGAGACAACCATTGATGATGACAGTTGCTCGTGTACTCAGTTTCTCACTGGTTTTGGTTTTCTCCGCTAAGAATCTAAGAGATGACCAATCCACGCTGAGATGTACATTTGGGTGCGTGTGGGGCACGTTCTGTGTAGAGCCCATGTGCATTCCTTTTAAAATCTTTTAAGATTCCCACACAGGCTAAAAGTGTTATCAAAACCATGGGCCTGTTTTCATTTCTGAAAAATTAAAAAAAAAAAAAGAATTGGTTTCATATATCAAGAGAAGAAATGCTTTTTCCCGTGAGCCTGTTTTATTGAGATCAGAACGAAGTCAAAACCAAACGACATAAACCTTCAAGATGACCAGACCTTTGGCTGAGACAAAAAGATGGGTGGTTATCCATTTGTAATGATGCGATTGATTTAAAAATGAACCATTTGATAATCAAGAAGCTCCCCTAGAACAAAAACAAGGAGAAGCTTTAAAATAGAAGGAAAATACGAAGAGGGGAAAATTTAATAAATATTAAATACCAGGAAAACTGGCATCTCCTGCCAGGATGAAAATTGCAAGAACCCTGTACATTAACATGCCATGAACTCCAAACAAGACGAATGAAGCGGTGGTGATCTAAATGCAAGACCAGCAAAGTAAATGTGGTGCTGCAACATCAGTCATCAGCAGCTAACAGGCTCCATCCTTAACCAGAAGCGCTCTTCCTTGCAGCATAGACACGATAAGCAGCGAGTCCTACAATAGCGACTGCGGCCCCAACTGTTTTTGTTAAACAGAAGATTGTCAAGAACATAGAGATAAAGAAGGAAACAAGCAATAAAATAAGTCAGCAAAAGCACCAGGAAAAATAAAATGGATCATATTAACCAGGTTGGTCCTACATCAATAAACAACGAGACATCAAAAGCACAGTGCCCAAATTAATGGTGATCACTTGCACACGGTATGATCATGTGGAGTAGGAAATAATTAGCCCTTTCAGTGGCTTTCTCGATAACTGTTGTAAGAAGTATTTCAGCGGAATAATCTGTGACTATGAACAATGTCCAATAATTTAAACTGCATAGTGAGATTATGTGGATTCCTCACACACACTACAATCATTACTGGCCAAGTGTGATACAGCCAAAAGAAACAAGGTAGGAGAGTAATCCAAGTTCAAAGCTATTTTGGCCCAAAAATCTGGAGCAAAAGAAAAGAAAAAAAAGAAAAAATGACATTGGTATGCATACAACGAGTGATTAGCTACACGTTTTAAGCCAACCTTGATTGTGTGTCATTCGACTACAAGTTCCCGTAACTCATAAAAAGGAATAAGATCACAGGGTCAACTGATTCTCAGTTCTCATTTTCTCTTCTAATTTCTATTCTACAGCATCTTTGTTCTACTTCTTCCTTTATTTCTGTCCTATATTGCAAGTAGATTTGTACTTGGTATTAGGTCCCTACTGCTTGACCGACCTTTTGACTGTAAATCTGACATTCCAAGGTACTTCATCTTCAGAACACAACCATAAATTACTACTTGCCAATCTCCTTTTACAATCATGTTGGTCCAAATGCTTAGAGAAGTCAGTTTTAAGGCTTGTGCTACTGCCATTAGCACAGACCTTTTGGAGTTACAACCATAAATTAGTACTTGGCCTATCTCCTTTTACAATTATGTTCGCCCAAATGTTTAGAGCGGCCAGTTTTAAGGCTTGTGCTACTGCCATTAGCACAGCCCTTTAGGAGTTCCCTGCTGGCCCCAAGAAGCTAAGTAATATTTCCCCCCTTTCATCCTCTTACCATACTTCCTATTCCACATTCTCCCAGGTTGCCAAGATATACTTCTCATCAATATATTTGGTTGCAGGGTTTTCTGTTATTTGGATCATTAGAATTAGATCCAAAGCAACGTCCTAGATCATCCAATAGTGGTCTCTTGAAGCAAAGGGGATTTCACTCCATGTTTTTTTTATCAGTAACAACAAGATTTATATTAAGGATTTAAAATATAGGTACATGAGGTACAATATGTACACAGAAATTGAGAGGCAAACAGAATTGTCTCTCCCCTACAACCTGTAAATACTACAGCAGTGCCCAGAACAAACTCTCCCTCTCCACCCCTTGCTTGGCTAAACAATCTGCCATAGACTTAGCAGACTGCTTAACCCAATGAACCTTTACACCCATATCTTTTGTTGTTTTTTGGATGAATAACAGTTGACTTCGTTGAATTTAAAAGAAAGTGTACAAGAGAAAGTGGGAGAGAGACAAGCCCTCTTATCTCTCCCCTTAAATTTTAATTAAAAAAAATACATTTGTGCCCAGAATGTTAGAGATTTCTCCCAACCCCTTGCTTGGCTAGTGCATCAGCCATAGAATTAGCTGTTCTTTTCACCCACCTTATTCTCAGTTCCATGTCCTTTGTGATCCATCTGAAGTTTTTCTTCTCATTGTTGTATTCCTACATCCTACTTTCCTCATTTTGTAGCCAAGCCACTACCAGTTTGGAATCCCCTTCAATGATTAACTTTCTAACATTCATGGTTCTAGCTCTTTGCACCCCTTCCATAACTGCCATTACTTCCGCTCTTAGTGAGTTTCCCTCACCTGCTGGGCCTGAGAATATTGTACCACACTTTACCCTCCTCATCCTTAAATACACCTCCAAAATGTCGATCGACTTCGATATGCTTAGTTCTGTCATGCTGTACCAGATTATAAGCTATATTAATAGCAACCTGATTATCGCAATACAACATTAAGGGCTTCTCATAAGCAATACCCAATTCCTCAAATAATGACTTCAGCCATAGGATTTCAGCCACACCATTAGCCATAGATCTATATTCAGCTTCAGCACTAGAACGAGAAACAACACTTTGTTTCTTACTCCTCCAGGAGACAAGGTTACCTCCTACAAAGGCACAATATCCAAAGGTAGACCTTCTATCATCAACACTCCCAACCCAATCAACATCTGCATAAACCTCTATCTTCATGTGATCATTATTCTTGAATAATATACCTCTACCTGGACATCTCTTCAAGTATGCTAATATCCTCTCAACTGCAAGGAGGTGAGTAGTTCTAGGAGAGTGCATATATTGACTGACAATGCTGACTGCATAACTAATGTCGGTCGTTTGAGACAAAGATAGAGGAGTTTCCCAACTAATTGTTGGAACATAGCTTTGTCTTCAAGTGGCTCTCCACTCTCTGCACTGATCTTGTGATTCTGTTCAATAGGTGTATCTGCAGGCTTAACACCCAACTTTCCGGTTTCTCCCAATAGATCTAGAACATACTTCCTTTAAGAAATAAAAATCCCATGTTTAGATCTAGCAACCTCAATACCCAAGAAGTATTGTAGCTCTCCCAGATCTTTCACCTCAAACTCTTGATGAAGGAGTTGTTTAACAGACTCAATCTCACTGTTATCATTCCTTGCCACTACAATATCATCCACATATACAGCAAGCAGAGTCAAGGATGAGTCCACTCTTTTAATGAACAATGTATGGTCTGACTGGGCCTGTACATAGCCGAATTTTTCAAGGGATTGTCTGAATCTATCAAACCAAGCTCTGGGGGACTACTTTAGTCCATACAAGGCTTTTTTCAACTGGCAAACCTTCTTTCCTGTCTCTGCATCATAAAATCCAAGAGGTAACTGCATGTAGACTTCTTCCTGTAAGTCTCCATTGAGGAAGGCATTTTTAACATCCATCTGGAAC